ATTGATTATGCAATTCTAGATTTGTGATTGTTACACTATTGACATTTATTATTGTACAAAATTCTAATATTACTTAATTTAACTGACATTTGATATTGATTGAATTAATTTGTCTATGACATGTTTAAATGGATTGTTGTTTTGAAAAGTGCTGTTATTACTCGTACATAGTTTTTGCATGCCATAATATTGGTAAAATGTGAGTACTATAAATTATATTTTGTAATAATTGTAACACCTATGTCAACCACATTTTAAGCAAATAAATTTTATTATTATTATTATTTAGAACATTCTTATAATGGTAGTCCAAAATTAAATTGTAACCGAGCCGAGAATCCAGGCCAAAAAAAAAAGGCCAGGTCAAATAATCTACCAACTTTTTCATTATATCGACAAAAATAATTAGCGAGCCGCAATTTATAATGAGTTTAGAACCTCTGATATTTTTTTTTTATCAACTCTCGGCGAACAGACTTTAGTTGAGAAAAATAATAAAAGTGAAATATTTAGCCAAGTGGAAATAGTGAGGCGTATTATTTAATGTTCTAGAACTGCAGCATGAGTTTAATTTCAGAATAGACAATAAGATGGTATGTACTTTGAGATCATTAATTTTCATTGATAATACGAGTACACCGTTTGCCTGGTAAACGCAGCCATACTCCGCACGCCTTTAACACCGTAACGTCTGCTTATTATACCATTATAGTAAGTGTTTCAGACACGCGTATTCATTTAATACAAACGAGCTTCGCTCCGCACCGGTGAAGGAAATTATTAATTCCTACCATGGTCGAATAATAAGGAGGGGGATGCCTTTATACGCTTATACAGAATTCTATTTATGTATATGTTAACTCCTTCACTGTGCACAAATGTACTCGTATACGAGTACCTACTGACGTTGGCACTGTTCTACTAATGTGATAAATAAATAGAATGAGTATCAATATCTAAAAAGCTGATGTTTTTTCAAAGGTGGCGAGATAAGCTTTATTTAGGGAATAAATAAAGGCCTCAAAAAGGGTTTATATTGGAAAAATCAATAATGCAAGAGACAGTAACAACACTGAACTTTTCATGGTTTCTGACTGCTATTTAATTTTAACTGCAAATTGACCTTATTTTGAAACGGTCTCAGATCGTAGTCTCTGTTTCGGCGGATTTTGATTATGTCTTAAAATTATCCGAAATTGCCAGTCTTGACGCAGACTTCTTTTCTTAGGCTGAGTTGCACCACCTAACTTTAACGGTAATTATGACGATAACTGGTGTTTTTTGTATGGAGTTTGACAGATTTTTGATGTTTGTTAAAGTTAAAGTAAGATGGTGCAACCTAGCCTTAGTTACTTAGTTCTCCTGATGCTTAGTTTGTAAATCAACAACATGGAGGAAGGAAAGGAAGGAAATTAACAAGGAGGAAGCATAAGACTTGCCTATTAATGGCGCACCTAACCTATTTTGGTGCACAAGCCCCAAATCCTGCTAAGACTACAGAATGTAGGGACTATACATCAAGCTAACCACCTAGCATCTAAGCAGTCGTAATAGGAGCTATTCTGCAACAAACATAGTCATATGTACGTACGTAATTCAACTGCTGAGATGTGTATTAGCGGCAACGTTTGTAACCGCGGCCGTAATGTTATGAGCCGAGCAATTTACAATCTGTCATTTACGCTATATAGTGATTTACACAAGTTCAGCATTAAAATAAATAAAGGTAACACGATTTTTACACCGGTATTCACAAACATTACTATGGGGTCTCACAGTGCGCGTGGACGCACAGTGTGACACACGAACCAATCACAGAGCTCTATTCAACGCTGTGCATTCGATTTTCTGCTTCGCTTAAACAAGCATCGTTTGTGAATATGAGCGTTAGTTAGACCTTTGATATTGAAAGCATATTGATAACAAATAATTAACAGTTGTGTTATTACAAAATGTTGTTTAACTTCTAAGGATTTGTAGCTTTTGTATCTGGAATTCTGACCACGAATATGTTAACTATTTGGCAAAGGTCGACCTTTTATTGGTTCATATTTTGCATATGAAGCGGTTTATTGAAACAGGTAGGTATAAGCCAATTTCGTTCCATGTCAAAGGCCAACTCGGTTCTTATTGAAAGTTTTCTCAATCGTGAAACTAGATAAAGTTGTTAAAAGGTTAGAGCAAAACGTCTTTGTGCCCCGAACTTACATTAAAGAGCCCGGGAGAATCCGACGAGCACCGCGAGCTCTTGAGAATATCCCAACTGATGTTTAAATCCTCCGCTTCGATTGAAAGGAAAATAAATGGACCGAAGTACAGAGCTTTCTGCAGTCATCTTGAGCTGTTACTTGCATTTAATGTTTATTTACTATGTATATTATGTATGTATTTACAAAAAAAAAGTATTTAAGTACGTTTAGTCCGTTGTCTAGTACCCATAGTACAAGCTTTGCTTAGTTTGGGACTAGCTAGAGGCGCAGTGTAAAAATGTCCAAAGACAAAGATTTGTAAGTTGAGGCACAGAATAATAATAAGTACTACTGGTTGAGGGATTAACTGAGGTACTTAGAACATGACATTCAAAAATGTAGAGTTATAGAGTCCTGTCTTATAGATAAGACATTCCACTCTAATTTAATAATAAACTTCTATTTTATCTTTGTAAAAACTATACAGTTTTTTCTTTTGGTTCAGCATTATATTAACCCCGAGCAAAATGAGGGTCATCAAATTATTATTTGTATCGTAGACCCCATTGTGCGATCCCGATCGTTTTTTTCGAGACCTTCGACGGGTTTTGGGCATTGGAAACGCCTTCAAAGAAGAGAACACTATTTATTGTATTTAATAAAATAAAGATTAAATGATTATTATAACGATTTTTGCCAGTTATTAAAAGTAGAATAAAACACTACGTTAATGTATTTTACTGTACCTAACTGTTTAAATGCGCAGAGATAAGGCTACGACAGAATTTTTTTCATTTTCTCCGTTAATGATAACGTTTTGAAACGTTGGGATAATAATGATTAAAAGCTAAAGATAAGAATCTTTACGAATTATACTTAATATAAAATAACCCAGGCGAGAGCACCATAACACCGAACCTTTACGAGTGTTTACGAGTTCGGACCTTAATAAAACCATGAGCTCATTTTCGGGCTTCATATTTACTCCGAATAAAGATAGAATCGAAAGCTGGATCGGATCTCTGGATAGGTATGTGTCTAAACTCGCGTGCAGAAACTCCCAGGGGTGTTTAAAGAGCTATTCGGGCTCCAATGACTCCCCGATTTGCCCTGAATCCTATTTATATCCTAATTAAACCACATCACGACCGTTCGAAATTAAACCTAACTTCCATCTCCGTTTTGAGTTGGCAGTTTCGTTACTTTAAAAGTAACTTACCTGAAATTATTGAGGTGGGTTTTATTTAACTTATCGTTACTTTTTAGATTAGTATCTGAAATAAGTCTTTGTTAGCTTCTAAAATATGTTTTGAACGTAAACTCCGTTACTTGACTTCAATTCTTCATTAGTCACAAAGTAACAAAAAATCCGCCCGTGTTCAGATGTTTACTTCAAACTATGTTTTAACCAAACTGAAGACCATAATTACGCAAACGGGTAGTTACAACACGATCTGTCAATCGATCAACTTTTTATGAACTTTTATAAGTACTTAATCACAAACCCAATTGACTATATTTCTTTCAAAACAACTTAAAATCAAAGTTCACAAATAATTAATTGAAAATTAATTTGGGTTTCAGGAATAATTAACAGGGTCAGTACATTTTTCTTGAAAATAAAAACACTTTTTGACATCATTTTCCTCATAATGTTTTTCATTACTGTTAATTGACGTAACAAAAATTTTACTTTTTCCCGTGGCAGCTGACTCGTGTAACGCCACTTGGCCTAAAGCAGAGTGCACATTGCCCCGTAATGTCGTTACGTATTGTGAGGTTGGCAATACCATTCCGTTTCATGTCCAATCTGCTTCCATTTAGCAATAATCTAATCTATTTGAGGGGACTTTCATGGCTCAGGAGTGGTGAATATAAAAAACTGTGGCCTAATTTGGGACCGCCTATATTAGATCAATTGGCTATATTTTGTTAATTGATTTACTTGTCGTGGTTCTGTGGGCTGAGTGTGAGTTTACATCGAACGCGCTCACTATGAGCTCACTACAATTTTATTTGAAATAAATTAGTAAATAAACTGACTTACAAAGTGGCTTACTTACCTACTTGAATGTTTAAGAAAATTCACAGCAGACCAACGGAGTGAGTGAAATTGAACGTAAAAGTTTTATAACGCTAACAAAATTTACTGACAGTTTTTTCATGGACTGGTCTCCCAAAAACTCCGGTTTAAAGTGTTATTACAACGTTTGTCAGTCGGTTTGCGAAAATAAAAATCTATGACGCGTCGACAATGGAGCGCGGAATAAAAGCCGGAGGCAAAATACGTTTTACGGCTTACAACTGTATAGGATTTTTGAATACATTAAACAGATAGAATTTTAAAAAAGAATTTAAATAATACCTACTAATGTTTATGTTAATTATAATATTTAAGGATGTCAAGAAAAAGAAAATTTTGTCCTAAATAATTTAATATTTTTTATTCAAATCACCAAACTCGTATTCACACTTTAGTACAAAATAACAAATTGTGTAACATTAAATTACATGTAACAAACAATAAATCGATCTGCAACAGTAACAAACGCAAACTGTCTAAACATATTCTAAAGTATACTTAAACGAGTTAACGAATAAATTGATAAAATTGACTCTGTTTTTATATTAATTATAATACTCTTGTAATTACATTTATTGATATAAATATTTCTTCTTCTATTTATTTCATCTGTTAATTATAATTACTAGTCGATGCGAGAAAAAGAAAATTTAGTTAAGAATATCTTGAATCTGTACAATTTAATAGTTTTAAAGTTAATATTTAGGACATAGAGTTATTTTTCACTATTTGATAAAAAGTTAGTAGGTATTAGCTACAATGATAAAGGTCCCACAAGTACTTGAAGAGTTAAGAAAAAATGGGCTAATAAGTTAACTATTAGGTATCTTACAATCTTCTACCGTTGTATAGTAAAAGTGATAAAGTATTTTACGTAAAATATGCCATAGATACATCATCAATTTTGGCACAGGTTTAACCTCAGATCATAGAAGGGAACTGAGGGTTTAACTGAAAACATGATAACTACTTTTTAAATCACATTGTTGTAGAACACAATGCTACGTAACGAAGTAGCTCATCAACTTGTATCACGTCCACGTTTCGTTCACTGAACACTCATTCAATCCAATATTATTGCTTCAAAGTTTATCCTATCACTTCGACACGATAACCTCTACCAAGGAACAAAATATTTACACTGTCACTTTACACTTTCGAAATAGCAGCCGTTCATAATAGTTCTACACAGGTATCATACAGAGGTCGTGATTTGTTCGATTAGGTGGTGTTCGCGGCGGCGGCAGGCCTGGCGGCAAGAACCAGCGCGACTCCACGTGCTGCCTCGTCGGGCTAAGCCTTCAGGCACACTCCGAGACGGCCTAAGAGGAATTGTCCGCCTCCAACAATCAGGGCAGTGAGCTGCTGAGCAACACACTCTGTCCAACGGAGCCGCATATGACAACGATTTGGGCAACCGTGAGCCACAGGTAGGCCCCGGCCAGCCGCAGTACGCTGTCGCCCCGCCGGCGCTGCAAGCACACCACGCCGGCTCGCATCGCGGAGGAGGAGTTATACAGGGACAAGCCTCTGCGATAGTCGGCGCCGGAGCCGGCGGAGGCTCCGGCTCCCTCTTAGAGAAACCCACGAAGAACAACAGCACAGCGCCCGCAAGGGTCGCCGCTGTCGAAAAGTAGAAGCCCGCTCTTGGAGCTTGCTGATTGATATACCCTGTGACTGGAACGCCTACTATAACAGGAATCGCTTCAGCACCTTGCACGAAACCTGTGAAAAATTGCTTCGATAAGCACATAATAGGACCAAACAGATAGGCCTCTATATGCGTCAACAACACGAAAATCTTTTCAAATGACCGTCTTTTCAGAACGTGCCTTTTATATTATTATGATGACACACTTAGATTTGAAACAGCATATAAAGGAAGGCGTAACGAATGACGCGTCATAAATCAGTTTTTTCGACCCTAAGTAAGATTTATACATACCCCAAACCTTCGTGAAGTGTCGCCCGCGGACGCGTTCCATTGTGAGCATTTTTATGGAGTACAGAAAGCCTCCGAGACAGAGGCCGTACATCCACGCGAAGAGAACGTATCCGTGATAGCCTTCTACGCTACTTAATGCCAACATTGATATGCCTGGAACAAATAAGCATTTGGCATTCACATTAAAAAATAAAGTTTTTTTTATGTGAATATAGAATTCAAATTGTTTGTAACGTTTGCTCACATACGCCATACCAAAACGATTTCGTAATTTTAATGAAATTACTTGTATAAATAACAGTCCCCACTCTTCAAGTAAAGCTGAGCTCGTCTTCTGATAGACCTAAAAAGTATTAAGCACTCATGGCGGTGACGAGGCACAGGGCCGAGCACGTAAACGATAAGATAGAGTTTTTATTTCTACGGTCTGATTAACTTACTGGCAGAAGTCCTTAGAAACATACTTGGAGACTGGACGATACAACGCAGTGGAAGGATTTAAGTCAGTGATCCTGAGCCTTCCTTCTGATAGCCCTACTAGTTATACTAGCATTAAGAACTCACTGATTCCCAGCATGGCAGTCTGACACAGGTACTGCTTGGAGATGAGGCACTGGGACGAGGGCCGCACCAGCACAAGCCTGAGGAACGTCTGCAGCAGCATCACCGCGCTCGCATCACCTCCAAGCCTTCTTGGAACCCTTGTAGTGTCTTGATAGATGGCAGACGCCAGTGATGCGTTGCTAGGTCTTCCTTCATTTAGTCTAATGAGATGATGTATCCTTTCCCTGATAGCCCTTCTACATGAAAAAGAACTAAGGACTCACTGATTCCCAGCATGGCGGTCTGGCACAGATACTGCTTGGAGACGAGGCACTGGGCCGAGGAGAAGACGGACGCAAGAGATGTGATGCTGTTTCTTTCTTCTGATAGACCTTTCTTATACTTAGACCTGTTTTACAAAGAACAAGCACTCACTGATGCCCAGAATGGCGGTCTGGCACAGGTACTGCTTGGAGACGAGGCACTGGGCCGAGGAGAAGACGGACGCAAGAGGTGTGATGCTGTTTCTTTCTTCTGATAGACCTTTCTTATACCTAGACCTGTTTTACAAAGAACAAGCACTCACTGATGCCCAGCATGGCGGTCTGGCACAGGTACTGCTTGGAGACGAGGCACTGGGCCGAGGGCCGCACCAGCACGAGCCCGAAGCCGGCGCAGCCCAGCACCGCGGCGAACCCGAGGAAGGTCTGCAGCAGCACCAGCGCGCTTTCCTCCAAGCCTTCTTGGAACCCTTGTAGTGCCTACATATTCAGGGTATTCATTAGAAATTGTAAAGGCTTATCATTGCTATGTTGGGTCATTGAGAGTACCTCTCAAATATTTCCGATACATCGTCTCCATATTGCTTAAAGTACTTGAGACTCAGTCAAAGTTAAGCATAGGAGTCGTGAACGAACCCAATAAAACTGAATAAAAGACCACTCGTTATTACAAAAGGACCATTAATTTCTGAAATGTAAATAGATACAAGTAAGTTTAAGGATTTTTAAAGCATCATTTTTATTCTCACTTATCTGTAATAATTTTTGATTTATTTTGGTTGATAACCATTGAGAATTGCGAAGATACCAGGAAACTGATAAAATATATCTCGTACATATTTATGAAAAACAAACCCAATATAGCTTCACTCACTTGAGCTCAGAAATGTTTTGTTTACAAACACAAAACAAACAGTTCATGTGGAAGTTTATTATTAGGAAAAATACGCCATCACGTGATCTATGTGATCCGAATTGCACAATGAAGACGAATAGTTCATCTCCAGGCAATTTATATCCCTTCTATTCCGAAGTTGCGTGAGATCGAGATACGATATTAAGTACAACGAAAATCTTATTAGGTCCAGTCTGGTCAATATCCACATAGTATTACGTACCTACGTGTATGAATACATAGTAAAAACAATTTTAGACTTCAGTGACCTTTTATAAGTAAGAGAAAATAGCAAGATTTTTTGTTAAAACAAATTATAATGAAATACAAATAGAATTATTTTTCGTCTTTGAACTAAAAAGTTAAGTCATCTAATTTTAAAAAGGCGAACGCTGGAAAGATAGCCGTCTTATTAGCGGGGTTCTGCAAAAATATATTACGGGGTGAAAATGAGACGAAAGGGGTCGGAATGAATGCGAAATTGCGTGACACATCTTGTAAATTCGACTGCGCTCAAGTAACAGTCGTCCACGAATTTAATTAAGATTGCTCAGTATAAAAAATGTTTAAAAAACTTCAGCGAAGGTTTCCCGGATTTCGACATCTGAGTAATTCAGTTACATCGCCAATCCTAAATCACGGTTTCGGAAGAATTAAATTATGTAAAAACGAGCTCCGCATTCAGTACACAAGGAACGAATTAACAGTCACCTCAACGATGAAGATAAATTGTTGGTTCAGCGGAAATTCTGCGTGGTGGAGATAAAAGTGTTTGAGGTTAGGTTCAGTCGTGTTACTTACCAGAAAAAACACTGGAGTGTAGAGTCCGAAGGCTGCTAATCCTGCTGAGAGCAGTAGCACTCTCGCAGGTCTTGAATTCAGGGGGCTTAGGTCGATAAGTGGCGGCCTTTTAAGGCCTTTCTTTTCTTTCACCTGCTAACATAATTGAATGATAAGCAAGCGTCAAACGTAGAGGAAAATGAAATGTCCTCCCACGCCATAATCGATTACCGAGGAACATGATCCGCTTACGCAGGAGACAACGAGATGTGAAGGTTTATGCGAAATGATATAATATTTATTGCGTAACATGAATAATGTAGTTAATAACGTATGCATACGTTTAAGGCAACAGACGTTACACCTAGAGCTGTATTAATTACAATTACTAGGTAAGTTAAAAAAAAAAATCAAAAGCAACGTGTATTATCACTTTGAAACACCATACAGTTTCGTTACTGAAATAAATACATACACCTTTATTACAGGTAGCTTTGACTTCACAAAATGTTATTTGCTTACTAATATGTTATAAGCAAATTCTTACTCCAACGTTTTTCACAGGAATTCCAAATATGAGAAAATTACGAAGCTTTCTAAAATCATCTTTGACCGAGGACGTGTGATCCAAAACTCAGGCTGGCAATTTGGGCATTTCGGCTCAAGCGGGACCCTAATACTCCGTTAATAGGGTTCCACTCTTGACGGAATTCTAATATCGCAAGACTCCCAAGTGAAAAGAGAATGCACCAATTAAATTTGACTTGGGGCCTTTGTGCTGTGATTATTCCCTTAATTTTAATTCTTAGCGTATAATTTAAGCGGGAAGATATTAATTTATTCGCTCATTAGGCGGTGCTGACCTTGCGGCGTTGGTTCTTGAGATGGAGGATGGCTCTCCTCTGAGGATGGTAGAGCGACGCGCTGCGGTAGACGGCGCTAAGGAAGAAAGCTAGCACGAGGATTCCCGTCACCGCCTGCAGGCCGAGTCGCCAACCTAGTTTTCTAAAATGAAGAGAATATTTATTGTATAATGGCTATAAACAGTTTTGATTGAATTTGGGCACAATTTTATATTTGCTTAGGATCGATTAAGACGAAAGAATTGACTGAAAAAAACGTTAGGTTAGGTAGTTATGAAAATATGTTAGTAAAATATTTCATAGAAAATCAATAATGAACAAAGTTTTCTTATCTTAAAAGTTGTTGATAAAAGTTGAGTTTTTAAAATAACTAAAGTTGTTTATCTACGTTGTCAATACACTTAAAGAAAACTTTGATTTGGTTTTGATTTGAATTACTAAAACTTATTCCGCGAAAAGTTTTGAAATTGAATCACTTTCTAAGAAATACTCGTTAAAGACGCTATTAAAAGCATCTCGGCCAGAACAAGTTTGGGATAAATTTCTCTTCGAAATAGTTCCTAGCTGCGAAACTAAATACTTATTTCAAAGGCAAATTACGAAATAAACTCAGGTTGGGCTAAATATTCTATCAAGGCGGGAAAATAGACAGGGCAAAGTTAATTACTCAAAGATCGTCTAAATATTTGATAATAAGGTTATGTTAAAGGCCTAGGTCCCGTAATCCAGCAATTTTCAGATTTACTAATTTTATACTCGCACAAAATGAGAATTAGACTCAAAGAAGAAGTGATGCGTAAAAAAGGTCTAATTATTTTTAAATGTGGATCTGAATAATTTAGTTATTTTATAGTAAATTTCGTTTTACTGTGAAATTGAAGGTAAAATCAATAGGGATGATTGCGTTATGTTTAAACATTCGTTACATTTTGTATAGCAAAGAATTTGCCATAATTTTTTCGTCTCCTCAAATCATTTACCTACTTTTGATTGCTTTCAAAACAAGCTATGTAGGTAGTTATGACATAATATTGACTTATTTAAGTTTTCAGGGCTTGTATTTTGTGTTCTTTTAGGTAAATATTATCTTGAAATACCTAATTGGTTATTGGTTTCAACTACCCAATACTGTCAGAATTGGTATTGGTATCCATAGAATGTGCACCATTGCACTGCGGCGAGACAATCAAATTATTCGGCGACCGCTAGATAGTTTACGGGATGGGCGACCGACCGCAGGCGCAGTAATGATCGACGTGTTACTGTGATTGCTAAATGATGTTAGTATTAACCATTTAAGCCCCTCTCATTATGTTGACATTACTTATATTATTTTAATTGAAAACTTTATTGCCTTGTCCTAACGTTTAAACTGTGAAATGAAGCCCAGAAAATAAAGTTTACATAATTCTAAATTTTTACAGGGTTTGAAAACGTTTCACCTTTTTTTATTTAGGCATATTGTGTTTAGTTTAAGTTTAGTTATAGCTACATATTTAGTTAGAGTATACACATCAAAATAAAATACCAATCCATCCATTTTATGTAGGTCTACGTAAATGAATACTTCGTGTGAAAGCTGAAAGCAACTCGATTTCCTTATAAACGATCGCTCTAAACCGTTAATTGGAAATTAACAGCCAGTAAAACGTTTGAAACGCCGCGTGTGAAACAGCAAACTTACGGTAGCCACCATTAGTTCTGTCAAGAGACTGTTTATGTAAAGACTGATCGTTACGTTTAGGAACACGCGCGTTCCGAATAGAAAAAGATTTTTCTGCAAAAAATGGAATGGAATGGAACTGGCAGAGGGCCCGTTTTGCATAGTATTTATTAGCTTTTTACGTAGACCTACATAGTAAGTACCTAACCCTTTTTCTTTTTAGCACATACTTGTAGGTAAGTTAATTACATACATAGTAAGGGCTGGTTTATTTAGGTATTTTTTCTAAGAACCCTTGTAACCCGTCTGGCCAGCGTGGGGAGTAAATGCTAAACCCTATTTAATTAAATAAACACTGGAGTGTAAAATTTGTAAATTAGAGATCAGGCCTGTAGTAGAGACTAAATAATTTGATGATGATATTATTTTTTATGACAATAAGCGTTCATAATAATTATTACGCCCGTATTCACAAACATTACTATGAGATCTCACAGTGTGTGTGAACGCACAGGGTGACACATGAACCAATCATAGAGCTCTATTCAACGCTGTGCTTTCGGTTTGCTGCTTCACTTAGGCAAGCATCGTTTGTGAATACAGGCGTTTGTTTAATCTGAATTGATTAACATTAGTAACAAATCAGTATAGCCTATATTTGCATATCACTTGTGTGGGGGTGGAGACATAATGCAATTTGCGTGTGCTCTAACAAGGCTGAAGAACGGGAAGCGCGCTTGTCGGCAGCATTCAATTAACGACATAAGTAATTAAGTTTTCATTAATTTGTACAGTATTACATCACAACAGTTTGAAAATTAATTGAAGTTTCAAGATGTAATATTCACGACGAAACTACGCATGGTATACAATTAATAAGATAGTAAAGTTACTGTAGTTCCATAGAAATAAGGTTTAGTTTAAAAAAAGTAATCAATGCCCGATGTAAAATTATATGTAAGTATAGACAAGTAGGTATGCAGCTGGGGCTATCTACATTGTGTATTTCTGCTGGCACAACTGTCTTTCTGGAAGTCTGAATAGCAGACTGATTCGGGTTATGTTTTGAACCAGTATTTAAGGCTGAGTTGCACCACCTTATTTTAACCATAACAATCACAATAACCGGTGTTTTTTATATGAAATTTGACAGACATTGGACGTTTATCAAAGTTAAAGTAAGATGGTGCAATCCAGTCTTAAGGTTCAGTCAAACAAACCCGATCACACGCGATCAGCCGGCGTGCAGCGATGGCGATCAGACTTAAATGCATTGATCACCATCGCTGCACGCCGATTAATCGCGTTGGTTTGGCTGAACCTTTAGTCATCAGCTGCAACTTTGCCTACAGACCAAGGCTCCATAGGACTCACACTGACTTTATTCAGTGTGCCTACCATGAGTTTACGTTAGGTGAGCTCGCTAGCGAATACGTCAAAAGATTCTATGAAGATTTTATTTCTTGAAAGTAGCCGCTAGGGGCGCTGCACAATATGTCATACATTTAAATGTCATTTTTTTACGCAGTCGCTAGCGAGCACACCTAACGTAAACTCATGGTAGGCACACAGCTCTAGGTGTAAAACTATTATGCGATATTTCATAAAACTCACCCGACAGCTTCTTTATAGGCGACGCTGAAGAGCGCAATGCCGACGCCTCCTCCAGCGTGGGCCACCAGCTCCACGAATTGCCGTCTTCTGCGGAAGTACGCGCCCAGCACCAGGCCAGCTGCTTCGCGTACCAGCCCGCACCCTATGCCCAGGACTACGCCTAGGACAATCAACAAAATAAATAATAAACAAATCACACTAGGAGCCAAATCACACGATGCATTGAGGCGGCGGTGCGACGCCGGAGCCGTGTCTCTACGTCGTTTTACATACAAATATCTGTGGCGGTGCGGCGCCGCGTCGCTCGCAACGCATCGTGTGGTTTAGCTCTTAATTAGTGTCGCATTAAATTACCTAGTAATTACAAACAATTTGATCGATTCATCAGTTACTTCAGACTCCTCATAAGTCTTGTACGAGTACCTATCTATCTGATTATATTCGTTGCTGATTCCTAGACAGCCAGCTGAAAAACTCCGGGACTACGTACTAGTAAAGTTTCATTGGAGGTCTTATCATAGGTATCTATGTACTGGATAAACTATTTGATTTGATCAGTAGATCTTGGCTATACTCGAGTAACACAAAAATACCCAGAATCGAATAGATAGCACCATAGAGTCGAAATAAGTACTGCGAATGTAGCCACATTTAAACTTGAACTGCTCCGAGTAGCGTTTCACGCTTTTTGCAATACTCCTGCTTCTATGCAAAAGCCAAACGAGTAAATAAAAGCTCTCTGGTTTCGTGAATGGGCTAGTAGATATCAAGCTCCGGAGCTTTCGTTTCATCTGGATAAACCGGCTGTTTGACGAACGCGTTAAGGTAACGATGTGTGCAGCTAGCGCGAAGTGCTAATGAATGGTTTCATTAGAACTTCTCGCTAGTTAGCGCACTGGTCGCGTGATGCACACTGGACCGTATTTCTCAGTTTCGTTAATTAACTTAATTAGTAATTGTTAATTAATGAAATTACTAATTCATGTGTCTATTCATGTATTACTATGGTTATTTGTTATCTAGTTGCCATTGTTAGTTTGAAGCGTATACAGACTATTATTTCACAACATTTTTTAGTTAGTTCATCTCTGCAGACCTAATTTAATAAACTGCATGAATTTGCAGACTTCTACTCTATGCTCAGCTAAATACAGCTGAAAGTAGCTAACAAGCCCAAAATAATGCATAGTGCCACAACCAAATTAAAACATACTTTTGCACATCAACTTACCGTAGCTAAGTAAGGTCTGATGTAGTTGTGTAGCGAAGGAGGTGAAGAGGCAGGCGAGAGGCAGTAGCAATCCGCCCAGCAGCGCTACGAGCCTGGGCGACTTCTTCCGCCCAGCCACCAGCGCTCCAGCCGCTCTCGAGACGCCCACGCATATCGCGCCCGCCCAAACTGGAAAATAAGATAGATACAGGATCTGCACAAATAAGAAAAACAAATCGTATTCATTCATTAATCTTCTTTCAAGTATTGATGACATCAAATATATGTACAAAGATACGAATTAGAAGCAAATATGTTTGATGGATGAAAAATAAATAATCAATTTTCAATTTCATGTCGCTAGGGAAAAAATTCCCCAGCCAAACCATTAAAATTCTCTCCTCTCAAGTAAAAAGAATAGTTGATTTCTAAACGTGTTGATAATCTCGCCTAAGAACGACGTTTAAGAGAAGAAAATATTATGAAAACCAACACGAGCTAATTCAAAAACAATGTTATCGCGCTCAGTTTGTGAACGCAGATATAATCATTTCTCTAAGCTTTCGCTTCTCTTGGTGCTGTCTGATCAACGGTTATAATGCTGTTACTGAGAATAGCGAGCAAAATAGAGGTATATGCTCGAGCAAATGCGCTCGATTTAATATCACTTTACGTTTATTCTTTGGCACCGGAGTAGCACGTTAATTGGCCCGAACTCTGCGAGTGAGATATCTCGCAAAACACATTAGACTGAATGTGAGACAGCGGTAATTCGGGGAATAGAGCCAGCCGCTCCTGGGTTTCACTTAACGCAATTACCCACGCTGAGAGCTCGTTGTGCATTATAAATATTGTCGAGCGTTCGTTTGTCTCGCTTTGTGTATTGGCGGAGCAGTCATTTGTTTGGCGTTAGTGTGACTCTGGGCTTCTTTTAGTTCTTTTTCTTGAACTGAAAACTTTTTCAGTTCAAGAACACTTTTACTTGCCATGTTATAACGTCATTGTTAATTATTACCTAGAATGTTGCCCTGAAAGGGTACGGAGCACACTTTGGGAAGCTCTGTCTGACTGATAAGGAGTTGAAGTTCAAATGAACAGGTGTGCAGTCAGAGAGAAGTATTCAACTCACCAGCGCGGCCGCGCCAGCACGTCCGATCACCTAACGTAACTTAACTCGTTAACGTCACTGCTAAATTCCAATTTCTCAGCTAACGCGAGTCAAAGTTATGTCCTGCCCGCACTGACAACAAAGACCGCGCTCACAGCCGAAATTACTTCTGCTTCTTAATATTCAGCCCAGGTCGTGAATCTTGCAAAATTAATTCAATAAATCAGACTAGCCGCAAATACCGGTGACCGGGAAAGTTCATTTGCTTAATATCCAATCTTAAATTTAACTTGTCAGAACGTGGTCTGATAACGTAAATTACTTTGTTAAATTTAATTATTGTTTATACAACAGGATTTACACGTTCCAAAGAAGGTCGGGGTGAATTGAATGGGAAGCTTTCCGGAATTGATTTAAGGTGATAGAATTTAAATTTGTTGAAACGGAATCGTTTTAAATGAAACCATTAGGCTTTCATCTGGCTGTAGAAAAAATGCCTTCGTTGTTTGTTTATTTAAGTGTTTCCGGAGGGCTGCCGTTGATAGATTACTTTCCGAGTCGCTCTCCGGCGGCCTCGGTTACGCTTCCGAAATTGTTTTCTTCCCATTCTCACGTTCCGCCACCACTCGACACATAGGAGCTATCACCGTTTCCTCCTGTTTGTATTTATAGCGCTCTTGAGTAAAAAAGCCAACCATTATTTTGTAAACAGCGATAGTAGCTATTAAAAACATTTTCCTGCGTCCTGATTAATTTTAATGGAATGGAGATTTTCCTCTCCCCTTTGTTATTGCTAGCTGACGTCGGGTAAAAGGTAAAAACACAGTAATTTATAGTTTTTTAGGCATGCGACCGTATTTTGTATGCTTGTGTATTATTATTCTTTGTATGAAATATAGGTAAGTACATGGAAACACATAGGAATCGCCTGGCTTGATTTATTTGAGTGATTTGTAGCTTATAAAGGGAAAATAGTTCGTGGTTTTAATTAATTAGGAAAAAAAATCTTTTGAAATTAAAAGCGGTCACCATCATCCATTGAGATTTGCAACATTGCATTGCTCCAAACGTTAAACGTTGCAGCTTGGTGCAATCGTAAAAACATCCTACGTATAGCACAGAATACTTGGGCTGAGTTGCACCACCTTAATTTAACCGTAACAATAACTGGTGCTTTTCGTATGGAGTTTGACGTTTGTCAAAGTTAAAGTAATGGTGCAACTCAGCCTTAATAGTGCTGGACGTAAGTAGGAACTCCTTGTTGATTGATAACTAAAAAGTACATAAATCCAATTGTTACCAGCGTGGTCCGCTCCAGGGCCGAGGTGCCTGAGTGCGTACACGTGGAGCGCGCCGTAAGCCAGTTGCAGGCCGGTGGACAACAGGTGCGCCAGGAACGCTGCGCCGCACACGATCCACCTGGTCAACAAATACATAAGTCAACTAAATAAGTTACATACATTGATAAACATATAGAAACCTTAACTTCGAACTCCTCCTAAGTTCTTCTGATTAATTTCGTCGCGGGTCCAATGACAGTTAAAACTTTCCCCCGAGACAAACTTGACCTTCATTAGTTGAATTTTTTACTGGCGGTCAAGCTGTAGATCCTGGTTACACAGGAGTTGCAGCGGCGGGGGCGAGAGTTGGGAATCGTCCCATATACATAAATAAATAGTTAATAGTTATAAAATTTTGTATTGACAACATCTAATTTAATCTTCTTACCTATACCTACCAAATCGCGAATCCACAACTAATTTGCTAATTTATTTCATCATCATCAGGTCTAAACAGACTAAATGAGTCTCCACTGCAAGACACAATCCTCTCTAATGCATCGGAGGCAAAATGGAGGATTTGGCTTACGCTTCTACATATTTATTTCAACTAAGCTTAGTACGAGGGGCTAACGGGAGTATTAGTAATTTGTGTAATAACAAATTACTAATAATCTTTAAAAAAAAAAAAAAAAAATTATTTCAACTATCCCAATGTAAAACTTTTAATATTTCTGTAACCTATATTCTCTTCTGCCTCCGAGTGAATATAAATGTAAGCGAACTGACATTGTTGTGTTGGCAAGGGTAAAGCAGGCGTGCGTAAAATTGTGTATCAAGCACTCAATATCCGAAATATAAATTCGTTTACCGCTCAAGAGATGCGATCTTCGCGCTATCAGATTCCTGAATTCCCAAGGTAGCGTTTTTAATGCCGGTATCTTGGTCACACCAAGAAGTTACGCCCTGATGACGATATTATATCTTCGTCATTTGTCACGTACGCTCGATCCGCGGGGGAAATTCGAGATTCGTGTTCACGCGTCTAGTTGCTTGTCACAGCGTTTATCTGTCATCGTGGATAAATTACTACGACGTGTCACGTTGTGTTACATCATCTGCTAGATCCTCCCCTAGTTGGCGTGACATCTAATCTACTACATGACTTATCGCGGAGTTTGCGACGTTACTATTAAATTATGACCAGCTCGGCCGTGGTATTAAACGTTCGTACTCTAATTAATCACTTAAGCATTCACTATTCACAACTTCATGCAGTGGAATACCCAGTTAGTTCAAATAGTAACCAGTTTTACCCCAATTTGGTTAAAGCGTCCTCAGTTGGGAATGCTTTTCTCGAGTCCTTTCGTTAGTGTTTGAGCTTATGGCATCTACCGCGCGTTGACTTTGCTCACACAGGAGTGCTACCGAATGCACATTAATGAGCTCTTTAAGCAGTTGTGAACAGAACAGTCTGCTTTTGTGTTGTGGTGATATACGAGGGCGAATTCAAAGCAGTTAGTCGTTTATTTGTCTCAGGGGGTTTCCGTGTTTGCTAGTAAGAGGTATGTAAAGTGAACACTTCAGATACTAGCATAAATCGATGACTGCATCGTGAATTCGTCTCTAGGGAAATATTAATTAAGCTTTTAGTAGAGTAGAGCTTTGTGGAGTGCACCTGCGGTGGCGATTAGGCAATGTAAGTAACTTAAAAAATAACTGGAATTCAAATGAATATAACCATTTCACACTATGTTTTTCAAAACAGTATTATCCTTCGATTCTATTCCATACAGATCCAAATTCTCTACGTAATAGAATTATCTCTAGCGGAAAATTCGTATTATCTAAGGGTCCATCTGCAGGCCTATTATTTTATTATTTACGGAACAAGAGAAATAATTCGTATTTGGTGCACGGACTGGAATAGGGTACTAATGTTGATGTGGTTATGGAGTCAATGAACAAAATATTACTATTTTGTTTTACTAAGGCAGTTCTATTTATTAAACTATTTAGTTAGATAATTTTCAAATTAATGTTTTTAACGCTGCTCGCTCAAAGATTTGCAGCAAGCGTAACCATGCTTTCGTAGCGCACTGCGCAGATCCTTTAGATCTTATTAACTTAAATAGATAGAGAAGGGGGAAAAGAAGAGGAAAGAAGAGAAAAGAAGGGAAAAGAAGGGAAAAGAAGGGAAAAGAAGGCAAAAGAAGGGAAAAGAAGGGAAAAGAAGGCAAAAGAAGGGAAAAGAAGGGAAAAGAAGGGAAAAGAAGGGAAAAGAAGGGAATAGAAGGGAAAAGAAGGGAAAAGAAGGGAAGACTGGAAAAGAAGAGAGAAGAGTTCCTTACCCCCACCCCCCTTCGGGGTAGAAGTGGTGCTTGATGGCCCTGGTGTCAAGCTCGCGCCGGCGCAGCGCGGGCACGGTGCGGTGCAGCGAGCGTAGTTCTCGCTCTCGCAACGCACCGCCAGAGGACTCTTCTTCGCCATCTGGCCAGCCGTCTGTGAGGAAAATTTACTTGATAATATCTTAAAGCAATAGTGGACATCATTTGGCTGGAACAAATTAATATTGCTATAAAATGTATAGTCCGATGTACTGTCGCATACATGTTGATGACTGACGGCCGATGGGGCAGCAAGGTTCTGGAATGGAGGCCGCGTACCGGAAGGCGCAGCGTGGGATGTCCGCCTACAAGGTGGACCGACGACACCGTAAAGGTAGTAGGGAAGCGCTGGATGCAGGCCGCTACCAATCGATCAACGTGGAAAGCATTAGGCGAGGCCTATGTTCAGCAGTGGACGTCCTATGGCTGACATAATGATGATGATGATGATACAGTTGATGACTTTTTACCTACTTGCTCATGGCAAGAACATTGTTTTGATTGAAACCATTGTGGTTTTACTGAAACACAACACAGTTGTTTTCTATTTCTTTAATTAAAATTTGGAGTAGTGTTTGTAATTTATGAAGGCTCTACCTGACTATGTTAACTCAATTTATAAATAAAAGCTAATGAAAGAATGCATTGTGGTTTGGCATTCCGAACCAGGCTTCTATTCTGCCTTTTGTTGAAATACTCCCAAATGTATTCGGAGAGCGTGACAACGACGAATAACAATACACTTTAGCGCTGCTTTCCAGCTGCTGTTTATTCCATGAACTTGTTAGTCAAATGCAAGTCCACGTTTGCGTTGAGACTCTTTGTTTTGTTGATATAAAAACTGTTTTACATTTACCATTAAAACAGCACAATGCGCGTACGAGGACGAAATTTTAAGCAGTTTGAATAAGCCGCATTATGTTCTAAGCTAAACGTTTGCCATGTTAAAACCAGAAAGCGTTCGTAGTTTATAGTAACGTATTCTCTTAATTCGTGACTTCCCAACATTAGCTCGGATATAAATCTTTGGCGAAACCAACGAGGATTTTGTCGGGTTCGTGTATCTGCCAACCTTTTGGCAGCTTAAGCGATCGTCACTGAGTGTAAACGTTTGTCCAGTTAAAGGTGAAAAAGTTACTGAATTTTTCCGTCCCATTCCGTTGGTAGTTAAACTTAATACTTTGTAACAGGGACGGGGGAATGCATATTTCAAGTTCTCCTACTTAATAAATCTTGCCCTTTTTTATGCTCCAATATTTTATGAGTATGAATTTGCGAAGAGGGGAGTTTTTATATAGGATTATAGCAAATTCCTTTTGCAAAAGGAATTATAGTCATGGACGCTTTAATATTATGGTAACTTTGGTATACTTTGACCGATAAAGCTGACCGGCCAGCTTTATCGGTCGGTCGGTTTTATCTAGCTACTCACCAGTTGAAGCTGGTAGTAAGTGGGTTGTTTCATAGAATTAATTAGGACCATCAGCTCGCAGTAGCTCAGCCAGGTCTCGCTACTCACCATAGTGCGGCAGGCAGTTGTAGCTGGTTGAGAGCGTGTGTCGGCAGCGGCAGCGCGATAGCACGATAGCTGACAACTTGACTTTATTAACCCACTCAGCAGATCAGCTCAATATTCAGCCTCACGCTTTGTAGCTGGTAGGGGTTTTTCTTCAGAGTGAATTGCGATGAGCTCGATTTTGTCTCGTAACTCATCAGTTGTAGCTGGCAGAGAGTGGGTTGTTTCAAGGTCGCTACTCACCATAGTGCAGCAGGCAGTTGTAGCTGGTGAAGAGCGGGTGTCGGCAGCGGCAGCACGGCGGCGGGTGAGAGCGACCACCAGTCCAGCTCCACCAGTCGGCCATGGCTGCAGCCGCACCCGCACCGACGATAGCTGAGAGCTCGTAGTAGCTCGGCTTTGTCTTTACCCTCACACTTCGTAGCTGGTAGCGATCGGGGATGGCTTCATCTTAAGATTGAATGAGAATGAGCTCTGTTTTGCATTGCTACTCACCAGTTGTAATGGGTGCCAAAGGTGGTTTGGTTGTATCAAACTACTCACCATAGTGCGGCAGGCAGTTGTAGCTAGTGGAGAGCGGGTGTCGGCAGCGGCGGCGGCGAGGCCGAAGGCGAGGATGACCACCAGCCCGGCTCCATCAGCCAGCCATGGCTGCAGGGTATACCCGTACCCGTAACCGCAATAGTAGCTTGTCTTCAGCCCTGCGCGGCGATGAGCTGGGTTTTGTCTCGCTACTCACCAGTTGTAGCTGGCAGAGAGTGGGTTTTCAGAGAACATCAGCTCGCAATAGATCAGCTAGGTCTCGCTACTCACTATAGTGCGGCGGGCAATTGTAACTGGTGGAGAGCTGGTGTCGGCAGAGGCAGCGCAGCGGCGGTAGCTTGGTCTTCAGCCTCACGCTTCGTAGCTAGTGGAGACTATGTAAGGGCTTATCTTCAGAGTGAATGGCGATGAGCTCGGTTTTGTCTCGCTACTCACCATAGTGCGGCAGGCAGTTGTAGCTGGTGGAGAGCAGGTGTCGGCAGCGGCAGCGCGGCGGCGGTAGCTTGGTCTTCAGCCTCACGCTTCGTAGCTGGTGGAGATTATGTAAGGGCTTATCTTCAGAGTGAATAACGATGAGCTCGGTTTTGTTTCGCTACTCACCATAGTGCGGCAGGTAGTTGTAACTGGTGGCGAGCTGGTGTCGGCAGAGGCAGCGCAGCGGCGGTAGCTTGGTCTTCAGCCTCACGCTTCGTAGCTGATGGAGATTATGTAAGGGCTTATCTTCAGAGTGAATAACGATGGGCTCGGTTTTGTCTCGCTACTCACCATAGTGCGGCAGGCAGTTGTAGCTGGTGGAGAGCGGGTGTCGGCAGCGGCAGCGCGGCGGCGGGGCGCGGGGCGGCGGCGGCGGCGAGGCCGACGGCGAGGGCGACCACCAGCCCGGCTCCATCAGCCGGCCATGGTTGCAGCCGCACCCGCACCCGCACCCGCGCCCTCGCTACCTGTTATAAAAAACACATCTAATAATAATATAACTCTTTTAAAATGGGTTAGGTTGGTTGGGTTTTTATTGGCCTGTCGCGGAAGTCTAAAGCTACGGCCGGATACTCGCGACAACCCCACTCGGGCGATGACGGAACGCCGCGGGGGTTTTAGTGGGTATACCCCGTCCTTTTCAGGATGGAGCAGCGCCCTTTTCAGGGCGCCGGGAGTCCCACACACCACCCTGTCCCCCGGCAGTGGTGACGGTGCGCAAAGCATTTCCTCCGCGACAAAAAAAAAAGAAAAAAAAAAGGGTTTTTATTGGCGGTCAAGCTGTAGATCCTGGCTACATAGGAGTTGCAGCGGTGGGAACGAGAGGTGGGAATAGTCCCGTAACTCTTTTATAATGCGAACAGCTAGGGACTGGAATTCGCTGCCTGCTGCTGTCTTCCCTGAACACTATAATCCGGGCCTTTTCAAGGGGAGAGTGAATAGGCATTTACAGGGCAGATATGTACCACCCTAGACTGCATCTCACTTAACACCAGGTGCGATTGCGGTCAAATATCAGCCGTGGCTTACATAAAAAAAGTATAATCGCGAGAGTATATTTTGTCATTGTGGTCGACATGAAGAAATCGCTTTAGAATAGGTCACGGGCATTTCAATTCCACCCGGGCAAGGCTGCGGTCAAAAGATTACTTTGTTCATAACGTACACCCGTTATGAACAAATTAATCTGAACATTAAAGATACGTAACGTGACTTGTCTTTCTTATTATGTAATACTTAGTTATGTGTAATAGGGCGTTTAATTTTACATAAACACACATAGAAAATAATTTGGCGTGATTTGGTTTTAAAGGTACCATCTATATTCTGCGAGTACAATTATCATATTTCTTTCAAAGACTTTCTTCCTTCTTAATATTACTGAAAAGCATACATATTTATAACGCAGCGAGCCATTGAAAGTCCACTATGAACTGTCCGGGATACGAAAAGCCTAGCTATGCAAGGAATATTTATAAGTTGTAACGTATGGCACCAAACAAAGGAAACCAGCGGGAACGCACATAAGTATAATGTATAAGTATAAAGACACTGAAGGCATTATACTATTTTTTACGCATTATTTAAATGAGAATGCGTAAAAACATCTTTTTTTTTTGGTAAAACACAATCCATTAAAACAAACGACGTTAAGATACTATAAATAGGTCGATCAATCGCAACTCAATAGTCTAAAAATAGCGCAATCCTCGTCGCTCAATGAAAAATACCTCGTATATTTCGAGGACCTCCACCTTTTTACTCGTTCAGTCAAGTCAACTGGTCTGTAAAATTTGGTCGAGGTAGTGTTACTGAACCATCTTATTTGGATACCTTCCCTTTAATTCCATTGGTCGACTACATAGATATTACTTAGGCTGGGTTGCACCATCTTACTTTAAGTTTAACAAACGTCAAAAAACTGTCAAACTCCATACAAAAAGCACCGCTTATCGTTAAAGTTACCGTCAAAGTAAAGTGGTTCAACTCAGCCTTACTGTTAAAGTTACTTAAACTTATCATAGATGTTAATAAATAAATGGAAGAATAGGTATCATTGAAGTAATAGACATTCAATTATGATTCAATCTAGCAATAAGACCACCGAATTTTTTATATTTCTTGTAATAATTATCAGTTTTGAATTTTCACTTTTGCAATTATTACACTATCTATTTAGTTAATATTTAAGCCCACGCCATATCAAACATCTCAAAAATAATCTCAAAGTTGCATCAAATACCATCAGACACCACTATTTTTCAGTATCTTCTGACCACACTACTTCATTGAGCATGTTCGTTGTTGCGTGGTAATTCCTCGCATTTTCCTGTACGATGGACAAAGAAAGATAAATGGTCCCGTGCCTTACGGCTTAAAATACGACCTTCCAAGGGCCCAGTAGGAATGCCGGTGTTGATTTAGGAGATTACGAAATTGGAGATCCCATTTAGAGCGGCTACTTTTTGCTACTCTTATGTTTTTGCCTGAAATGCCACGTAAGCTTCTCTGTTTTATTAAGTAACCTCGTTATTAAAGTTATTTGCCCGCAACTTTTACGCGTGACAATCATTTTTAATTAGGAATCCAGGCAACCAAGACCTTTAGTTTATATGGGATTGATACTGAGAGAATGGTGAAGCTAAATCAAAGGCTCCGTTTGGCTATATAAATTATCATAACTACTAAAGAAGTTCTCCATGTTTTCAGTGAAATTGTAAACGCTGTAAAAAAAATATCTACAAAATGGTTTTCTACTAGGCAATAGGTAACGTACAAATCAAAACCCTGAAATCTTCAGACTTTATACAACGGAAGAAAACCCATGATTTTTAACAATTTGAATAAATGCACAAAATATTAATGTTGAGACTTAAAATTTATTTCAAGAAGGGTAAAAGAAATTTTAAATTCAGTCTATGATACATTGTATGAAAAGCTCGACTACTGAAAGATCAAAAACAGCGTGAAAATAGTTTTTCACACTCTGCACATTAAGTTCTACCAGAAGCTTTGCAACTTGAATCTTAAGTATTTCATCCCACGCTCAAGAGGAAAACGTTGTGGAAAATCGCACTTTAGTATTAAAGGATTCCGCTTCTATTCCTTATAATCCAGTGGCGTTCTTTTTAACGTCGTCACATTTTATCCTTGGTACAATTTTCTGCAGCGAGGGCGTCATTGAAAAACCGCTTCTGTTTTAATGAATTCCTAATACACGTAGGGTAGTTAATACAGCCAGTTTACTCAATTTAGTTTCGAACTTTGAGCATTAAGTCTGTTGTACTGTTTTGAAGTGATACGTTTTTCAGTGCAGTGAACATTTTACACTATAAATATCCCACTAATCGTCGCCTACGCCGCAAAAGGGCGAACATCATAAAAACGGTCAAAAAGTTGTGTACAGAAATGCTCTATTCTTCGGGCACTAAGTATATAGTTTTTTGGGTAGCGCATTTTCTTACATAACTTTTCAATTCCTATCATTGGAGGTCCGAAAATATTTCTCATACAATTTGATACCATAATGATCATTCCTCATAAAAAATTTAAAACCTACATATTTAAAAACATAATCATTGATATTCATAATATCACTAATCATACACTTAGTTTTTACTAATATTTGTTTTCATATATTTTTCTATACTAATGATCGAAACTCATAATCATTCGAATAAATAACTATAATATTCATAAATGTGATGTATCCTAATATTTGTTTTCATAAATTTATTACTCATAAGTGTATTTATCCATATTATTGAAAATCATGATGTCTAAATTCGTATTAAATCGTATTTTAACATTAAATTAATTTGAAATGGTCCAAAACTAGCAATATTTTGTGCCACAAAACTAACGTGACAGAAACGAATCGCTGCAAAACCGACTCCACGTAGTCTTGTCTGCCCTACCCCTAGAGTGTAATTTAAAAGCCGGAGGCGCGGAGGGAGGGCAGCCCTCGCCCGCTGTAACGAGGCTCAGGCGCCCGGGTGAGCTGGAGCGGCTGAGGCTGGTCGCCGAGGCGCCGAAGGCGCCGATGGCGATCCAAAAAGCCGAAGCTGCGGAAGCAAGCGTGGGTGCCTGAGCCTCGTTACGCAAGGGCGGAAGGGCTGCACATCCCGCAGCGCCGGAGACGAGGAGATACCAATGCATGCTGCATGCTTGCTTTCATGCTGCATGCTCTGCATGCTTATCTACTCTATTAAATTATATATGATTTTTTTAAAGATACGAGTATGTCTGTTATAAAGTAAATTATTCTGAACAACAACATTATGAGTTGAAGTATGTTCTTAGTAACAACATTATTAATTAAAACAATATGATCAATGAATGTTATGAAGAAAAAAGATCTGAAAATAAAAATTATGTATTTTAAATGGTTCTTGGTAGTAACAGTATTGATAAAAAAATTATGATTACTAACTGTTATGAGCTCCGATGGTAGTAATAAAAATGTATGAATAAAAAAAGTATGAAAAATAAAATTATGAAGAGAGATTATTATGAACACAAATCGGTAGTAAGACAAAGAATAGGATTTAGAATTTTATGTGAGCCAATATAGAACCAGTTTTTTGCTCTCTTGAATATTTTTATGCGGTCCACAAAGCTTATAACCTCAGTATGTGGAGGAACAACATAAAATATGTATGGGGCCGTCCATAAATTACGTCATCGATTTTTTCAGATTTTAGACCCCCCCCCCCCCCTACAATCATCCTATCGTCATTTCTTAATGAACCCCCCCCCTTCTCCCAAAATTGACGTCATTAATACCAGTTTGACAAAATTAAAACACTTGGTTATATCACCTTTTATTTTATTTTTTAATAGATAGAGTGATTCTTAAGGAAGGTTTATATGTATAATACATGTAGGTACTATAGCCTGACCAGGAACATAAAAACCCTGGCATAGAGGCGCGTCAATTGCATTTGATAGTGCAACACTGAGTACAGTCGTACCTGTGTTAAATTAATAGGCTAACTTTATGTATCGGGATTCAGGATTACGGGCTAATTTGATATTTTCATAAATTAACCCATTATAGACTAGCGGTCCCATATGGTACCACTTTTTTGTGTGTTTTAATTTGGCTCTATACATTAACACGTGAAAAGATGCAGTGCTCTGATTGATGCAAGTCGTAGCCAATAGATATGGTCTATGCTTCTAGGAATAAAAATTTACAGTTATTCTTTTCAGCTGTGTGTAATTAATGATTGAAGTAAGCGCATCAAAATTTTCTCTTAAAAATTGACGCGCCATTCAAGTAAGTGATCATTTTTTTTTGTGTGATAGTGAAATACTGATTTTGTTACAATCTTGTATTCTCCATAAGTGCTCTTATTGTGAAATGGTTTAAAATTACGTCGATAGATAATAATAATGGGAAATATTGTATGTCAAAATTACTGGTACCGTACGGTACCGCTAGCCGCTTACCGTGTCTTTTTAA